GTTTACCTAGAGAAATCTAATTTGTAGTTTTGAAAATAAGCAAAAAGCTGGTAGACTGCAATGTTGATATTCTGATCACATTATATGCATACGAAGATAGTATCAAGCAAAGCTTTATTTACATTTCCTAAGTGTTTTTTCACTTTGTATAAACTAATGAGTGGTGCTGTTAGAGAATATGTGTATCCCTCTTTGTGTAATGGATTAAGTGTGAGTCCTGTTAAACACTAGGTCATAAATCAGACTGTGTTCTCTATGCCTAATTAAGGGTTTAAAAGGGGAAAAGGTAAATTCTTGAATGAAGGGCTCTACTCAGAAGCAGAGTTTGTTATTTCACAAAGGAAGTAGATAAAGCAGAAAAAGAAGCAATTTAGGAAAGTGAAAAAGAAAACTATGAAGATATTTAGCTACTTTATTCTACTCAGATTTAAGGATGCTTGAGCTGCTAAAAGGTCTGGATGGAACTTAAAACTTTTTATTTTTCACTTAGACTACTGATATATAAAAACACAAAATGACCAAAAAATTAAAAATGAGTATCAAAATAGCTGTAATCAACTGAAAATTTAAAATTATATACACGTAAAACACAAATAAATCAGTTACAAGAGGATTTGAAGAATAAAGTATTTTTTCTTTTTACCTATACAACTCTCTATAATTAGAGTATATTAAAATATTAAACTCATAGATTGCAAGTAAAAAGACAGTTAATCCAATTATCTCCTAGTTGTCATAAATGGAGATAAAATTAATCTCAGATAATATTATTTAGACATTTCTGTTTGTTTCTAGAGCATAGTGAATAATTAAATTCATGCTGTAAACTGACATTAAATGAAATGACTATATTAAGATACAAAGTTTGTCACTTAGCGTATATAGGATTAGAACAAAGGTGATATGTCAAAATTAATTGACAGGAGCATCATTTATTAATATCTAACTATACATAATTAATAACACTGTTATTTGGCTTTATTTCACTTTGTGTAACACATGAACTACTCAGTGAAATATAGGGAAGGGAAACTTTTGATACTAAGAGGAAAAGACTGATACTATGTCTTGATTGACTGGATGTTTATTGTATTTCCAAAAGAAGAGACCAATTTACTAACTTTCCAATCATTTGTTTTTCATTCAGTGAATATTTATTATGGCCTAAACTATGACAAAAAGTTTGCTTAGCACTAGCAACTTAGTGAGTTGGGCAGTGGGTGAAGGAGACAGGGTGACCACCTTTATGAAAGGTCTAATTAGATTCTAGTTGATCATTAACAAAAGGTATTAAAAAATAAAATTATTCAATGTTCATACTTGGCAGAATTCAGAGATTCTCAAGTTAAGCATAATAAATATTTTTCAGAAATAAAACTCACATTACAAGGTCATCAAGACCACCTAAAGATCTTTTCCATCTCCCGGGGCAATCATGTTTCCATCCTCTCTCCTCAACTTTTATTATTCCTTCCCCACCCCACCTTCTGCTCTGTGCTGGGCTTGCTGGTGGGCATGTGTGGGGGAAGGGTGGAAAACATTTCCATTCATTCCAGACTTTCACAGGCAAGGGCATATGGAATGGCTATGAAAGCAGTCCTAGTCCCTTACTCCTGCCCCAATCACCTAAACTTCCCCATATTCAATCAACATTAAGATACATTGTATCTTTATTTGCTGAGCAACTACTTGTGACAAAACAACTTCTGTCCCCAAATTCTTAAGTCTCTTTCTCTTAGTATTGGAGCCTCCTATGAACTTTAGCCCTTTTCCAGTGCACTGTCATCACTATTTTATTTTCTATAAATTGGCATTTATGACTATTTGGATTTGATCTGTATTGAGCATATACCAGTTGTTACATATTTAAAATATAAAATAAAGTAACACTGCAAGAGATAAAATTATCTGCAGGAACTGATGGAAGGAAATATGAACAATAAGAGTTTTAATGGTTAAATTCTGAACATAACGACAGAAATGGGAATAAAGCAAGCAGGGGAATGCAGCAAAGATGCTGATACATGCCAACCAAACTCTGGAGCTTCCTTTTTGTTAAATTGAGACAGAGATCTCAAAAAAGGAAGAATTTATAGGGCAGTTCTAAGCAGAACATGTACTCTTTGAATTATTCTTCTCTCCTCGTTTAAGGAAGGGTTTTTGAAATCATGTCATCTTATATGAAATTTAAATGAAAATTAGTAGTGCTTCATAGATGCCATTTATTCATTTGAGTATTTTCCTACTTTTAAATTGTCCTGACTTTTTCGGCACTCATATTTATAAAAGTTTCTCTTCATTTCTACAAATTTGAATGTTCAGATCCTATTAGCAGTCCTTCAAATCTTATTTCAAAGGATATCTGTTTTAAAACATATCTTTGCAACATAAATTATTTAATCTTTGCAACATTTTCCACATGATTTTACCTATATATACATATTTCTGGGGATATTTATGACCTTCTCTCATGGTTAAAAATATACTCATGTAATTTACTAAATTGTTAGAGAAAAGTTTATAATTGATTTATATATTTCCTACTCCCACCACACTTGGGAAGTTGAGTGAGTCTTAAGGGAAAGTATGACTGAATGTACACAGGATATACAAAGTAGAAGAAAAGCATTAATGTAACAACAGCAACAGCTTCTCTGTAATGATAACCCACCTCTATTCTAGTGCTGTGAAATATATGCCATTTTAGCATAGAATATTCACTAAGGCTTTAACCAGACTTACCTGCTATGGACTATTTATACTCAAATACACAAAAATAAAAGTAGAAGCTAGGAGTTCATTATTGTTTATTTTAAATTGACTCACCATCAAAGAATGGGTGCACAAACTGCTTTTAAAAAATATATACAATAGTTTACATATGCTTAATTTGGATGATATATTTCCTCTGCTCTAATACCTAGAATTGAACATTAAAGAATAATATCACTGGGAAGCAACTAAATATGTTTTCCTTTAGCTGGCTCTAAAACTTATTAATAAGCACTATTTCACAGTAAATAACAAATTATGTGTTACGGTTTGATTTCTTAAAATAGGTATTTTTGAGTAGAAGAGTAAACATGAGAATGAGAATACTTTGCAAATATATCAATTACTTTAGCCATAAAGAGAATTCTTGAAAATAAAAACAGATGTGTACGTGATTCAAATTTAATATATTTGAAATGTAAAGTAAAAATATAATACACCTGGATAGAATTATGCAAATTGCATGGGTAAATTTTCCCCTTAGGGATAACTTCACTGTGTTCTCTAAATCCATTTTAAAAAGAAAGAAAGAAAAAGTGGAAGTAATCTTTTGATATTTCCTTAAACTAATGCATAGCCTTTTCTTATTCTAATGAATTGATAGAGCAAATATTTTTAGAGAATTAACATAACCAGTTCTTTATGGTTATGTACTGCCTTTGCTTAATTTTGGTCATCAAACGTTTTTACTACTTCAGTCATTCCACAGTATTCTGAAAGGAATCACCTTACTATAATTGTTCTCATTCTTAGACATATGTCTTTTCATTGACTATAGGTGTTCATTTCTAGTTGAGTATTTATTTTTAAGCAGTGCAATTTAGAGTAATAGAAACAACATGGGATCAGGGTCAAAAGACTTGAGTTCAACTCTTAAAACCGATTTAGCAAAAAGACCTTGAATACAATGCAGTGTTTTTAATCTTCATTTCCTCATTTGTGTAAGAGAGGGGAACTACATGTTTAACTGGTCTCTTTTAAGGAACAAATGAAATGTAAATGCGAAAACACAAATTACTATTTACCTACCATTGTTATTACATACAGGAAATAACCTTATATAAATAATCCAGTAGGAGTGCCCTTATTGTTTTTTGTTTTTACTCAAGATAAATACGCAATAATTAACGTATAGCTCGTCCAGTCATTTCTTTCTTTGTTTAACCATAACTTTATTAACCGAAACGATTCACCAGCGATCTCCCAAGTTGGAAAGGGTACAATAAACTTTCAAGTCTTACCGCAGTTTTTGCTAGTTCGCTAACAAGGTTAACCATCCAACTCTCCCTGCATCCCGAACGTGGCAATTAAAAATAATTTTAAAATAAGCAAGCGTTCGCCCTGCAGCTGTTTACATATGCCTCACTATAGAACGGTGACGGCAAGCTATTTAAAAACAAATAGCTCCAAGGCACCGCACGGCATTGATTCACCACGGCACAGCTCTGTAGTGCTGCATTGTTTAAGACCACGTCGTGGCTCAATGTTATGTCAAGTTGCACGTTCAATATTAGTTATTCAGTGCATGGGAGAGGCTGGTTTTTTACCCTCAAGCAGGCGCTGGGAATCCACTGCAAGCGAAAAAGGGGTTAAAGTTGTCCACCAGAGGGAGTGAGTGTGTGAGTGCGTGTGTGTGTGAGTGTGTGTAAGTGTGAGCGCCCCGGACAGAGGCGTCGAGTTGGGAAGCGGACTCGTACCCAAGTTCCAAAGGCCGCGGTGTCCGCGGGGTCCGGCCCTGGCGGGCCCGGGCCCGGGCGGGCAGGGAAGGCTCGGCCTGCAGCGACCCCGCCGCGCCCCGTGGATTCCGGGGCCGGGGTCGGGGAGGGGGTGGGGGAGGGGTGTGGGGCGGGGGTGTCTCGCGAGGGTTCCAGGGCGTGGCCGGAGTGGGGGGCGCGCGGCGAGTGTGAGCGGGTGTGCGCGCGCGAGGGCGAGTGTGAGCGCGGCGAGTGTGCGGCCGCGTCGCCATTCCCCGTGACGTCAGAGTGTATTGTTGTGCGCGGGGCCGAGCGGAGCATCCCCGGAGCTGTCACCGCGGCGGCCGCGCCGGCGGCGCAGCCCGAGCCCCGCACGAGCGAGCCCGGCCGGCGCCGCCCCCGCCCCGTCCCCGTCCCCGGCCCCGCCGCCCCCGCCCCCGGCCCGCCCGCCGCGCGCCGCCGCCGCCCGCGCGCCCCCACCCAGCCCACCCCACCCCCTCGCTCCATCCCTCCCACCCGCCGCCGCCGCCCGCGCGCGCCTCCCCCCGCGGAGCGAGTGCGGGTCACCGGGTCACTGGGTCATTGTCTCCGCGCCCGAGCCCCGAGCACCCCGTGGAATCCCCCACGTCATCAGCAGAACCATCAATGAGATGCAAACATGAAAGACAAGAGGAAGAAGAAGGACCGCACCTGGGCCGAGGCTGCCCGCCTGGTACGTTCCGCCCCGCCCGCCGCCCGCGCCCGCCGCCCGCGCGTCCCGCCGGCCCCGCGGCTCGCCCCGCGCGGGTCTCCGCGGCGCCGACGGCCACTTCCAGCCCGAGCCGCCGCCCGCCCGCCGGCTCCGGCTCTTTGTTATTCTGCGGGAGTGGGCTAGCCCCGGGGCCCCTGTGTGTGTGTGTGTGTGTGTGTGCGCGTGTGAGTGTGTGTGTGTGCGTGCGCGCGCGGAGGGGCGCAGCGATTATCGCGGGGAGCTCCCCGCCGGCGCGCCCGGGACCGCCCGGGACACTTCCCCGGTACTTCTCTCTCCGGGCTCCGCTGTGCCTGCGCCACGGGTGAATTTCCGAGCGCTCGGCCCGGCTCGACTTCCCTCTCTGCCACTCCGGAGACCTTTTGTGTGGCAATTACCACTCCCTCCCAACCCCTCCACCCCCTGGAATTTCATCAATAACTCTGTGCACGGTCTGTGTGTATGTTCGGCGTTTGTGAGTTCATACATTTTACACGTGCATGCACGGTGTGTGTCCGACACGGACTTGTGGGGCGTGTGCATGTGGGCTAGGTCTGTGCGTGTCTGTGTGCCGTGTCGTGTGCATTGTGTATGCACACTGATACGTGCATGTTTTGTGTGGCTCAAGTTCGTTTGTGTTTGTAGGTATTGTGCTCTGCTCCGTATTTGTGTGTATATTCTGTGCACGTGTGTGCAATTTGTGAGTGTGTGTCGGGTGTGTGTGTGTTTGGTGAAGTTGGGTGGGTGTCATTTGTACTGGGAGGTGATTAAGAGTGTACAGCTAGGTGTGTTTTACTGCTGGCTTCCTGGGCGGTGTTACTTGGCAGCTTTTCCTTTTCTTGAACCTTTCCGCGGAGCTTACGTTTTAATCATCGAAAGAATGTCTCTATAGAAATGCTGGTTGGCGGAGGGGCGTCGGCGTCTTTGGTTTGATGCATGTGTATGTGTGGGTTTTTCTTTCTTCATCTTTTAAAGGACAGCTGTAAACGGATTTTTTAAAGGATATTTCTGTACAGTGTGTCTCTCGGGAACGCAAGACATTACATTTGAAGCTCAGCCTTTCAGGGATTTGGCTACCAAATTAAATATTTATTCACCAACTTACTGTTATAAATTGGCCAAAAGAAAGCAGATTGCATGCAGCATGGGGAGGGGGGGCTGGAGGGGGGTAGAGGGGGAGAGGCCCAGGGACGTGTTATTGGGTTGACTTTGTAAAGATTGTTTGACTATAACTGTGGTCTTTTTTTTTTTTTTTTTTAAAGCTTTTGAGTAACTACATCATGCCCAAGGAGAACATTTGTCAAAAGTAATTATCTGAGTTTGGTTGAAGGGCCTTGCTGGTATGTCTCCAGATTCTAGCAAAGGATTTTAGATAATTGGCCGGATTGCCCTGTGAAGAAGTGACAAAAGTCCTTGTTAATTGCAATCTAGTTATTGGTAGCAGAAATGGCCAGGCCCCTTTGCTTCATCTCTTAATTTGTAGTAGTGTTTGTTATGATTTCTCCCCTTATCTGTGATTGCGTTAATCACTAAATCACTCACTCTCTGTGGATGAATGGGCAGGTGATAGTCGTTCTCTAATGAACTGCATCTGGGAGAGGGAACTTATTTGTGAGGAATATGTGAAAAGTAAGCAGTAAGTGCTAAGTAGATGCCAGATTGATGCTATCACTGAATTTTTGCTAGAGCATAGTGCATTACTTATTGTTTGCTCAGTCATTAATTCAGAATTTGTGGGGGTGTGCAAAGCTTCTGAAAATGCATTATTCAGGCTCCGTGGAGTGGCAATCAAGTATTATTATAGAGTTTCAGTTTATGTATTTTAAATAAATGAACAATGAGTTGATTTATAAATATTTTAAAATAATGATTCATGAATTAGCCATATCTGCCTGCAGATAATAATTTAACAAATGACATGTTCTGATGGAATTCAAATCTAACCCTTTATATGCAATTAATGTATGTTACTATTCTTGAAAGTACTGTGCTTTATTTGATCTAATCATAATATGTCTCTATTGATACATCTTGAAATAGATTTCTGAGTCACAGTTTTTGTTAAAAGTTGCATTTTCCTCTTGCAAAGTTCATTGATGGGAAAAGACACACTAGTAGTCATCAACACAAAAGAATTAATGATAGACCAGATGTCTCTATTTTAACCAGACATATTGAACTAGTAGTTATGGTAATTTTTCAATTTGGTTCAAGTTATTTTTCCCCTGGTAGTTGTACAAATGTGTATGTATTAAAAATGTGACAGTTGAAATAAAATACTGAATAAAATAGAAAGTGATTGTACTGGAAATATCTTTTTCAGAAATTTGCATTAAAGTGACACGATCATTAGTAACTTATTTTGTGAATAACAGAGAAGCAGGTTTATTTGAGTAATGGTGACTTTTCATTTTTTATGATTGCATCAAAGTATACAGACTTAAACTCTCTTCCAAACTTGCTTGAAAAACATCTTTACTCTTTTAATTGACACTATTAATTTACATGTAATGGAAAAGGAATGCTTTTTCCTTAGCATTTCTATGATGTGTACTATTAGTTCGTATTTCATAGTGCCCTTGCTGATTTTGCTGTGGTTATTGTTGTTAAGGACTTTTAGCTTTTCTCTAGCAAATGTTAAACAAGATGTCTGATTTTAAAAGTAAAGACTGAAGGATGGAATGAAAATAAGCAACTTAGTATGTGGTTCTTGCAGTATGTGAACTAAAGAGTGTCCTATTAAGATTAACCTTCCAATTCCTAGTGTATAAATATTATATATATAAATAACATGTGTGAATATATGTTCTACTGGAGTGTGTGTATGTGTGTGCATGAGAGAGAGAGAGAGAGAGAGAGAGAGAGAGAGAGAGAGAAATTATTGATATCATATCAGCATAGAGGAAATGTAAGAAAGATTTCTTGTACTGTGACCAAAAGCTTATATTTAAATGTACCTTAGATTTCATTTTTAAGAAAAATATATATGAAAAAGGACAGTTCTTTCTAGAGTAAGAATTTCCAGTTAACAGCAGAATTTTTGTTTTCTTTCTTTGTGAGAAAAATGTCTGTCTTAAAATCTAAAACTCTGAGTGGCAACTCCAGGGATTTTGTTTTAAATAGAGATGCAGCTATCAAGCTCTACCAATTTTCTCATAGAAGTAGATAATGTTTGTATGTGGTGGACTTGCTTAGCTTAGGAAAGAAATGGTGCTGTAATTTTCCTGTGTTGTCAGGGAAGCAGTGATTATTAACAGGCTGCCATTTTAAAACAGTAATACTACATCTTTTCTTTCTTTTTTTTCTTTCTGCCCTGCATCAGTTGCAGAAATTTCAGCCTTCAACCTCTCCCCTCCCCCTAGGCCTTCTGCAGTTGTGGTTGTTACTTTGCGCATTGCCATTTAATATGGAGCCTGCTCCCAAACCAGATGCATTTTCATCTGTTTTATCTGCTCTTCTAAGGTTGTAGAGTCTCAGAGGATCCCACAATCACATGGAAGTATCTTCTGTCTTAATATTTGTAGACCACAATAAGAATAAAAATCAAAACCATAACTCATGTCGAGCTGGGGCTTTGACTTTAATCCTTTTGACTTTTATCTCAAGTCTTCACTCTGTTACTATAAATACAGTTTAAACCATTGTGAAAGGATCTTCATGCTTCTTTGTAAAAAATGGGGATTTGACAGGACTTTGTTTTACTGCACTAAGGGGTTTCTTTGTTACTGGCTTAACACAGAACATACTGTTATTTATATATTTATTCTAGCTTAATTCTTTTTTTGACATGCAAAAATGTTGTTGCTTTGAGAAGTGCTTTTTGATACTTTCATCACTTTGTTCTATAGGGAATGCTGCTGTTAAGATAATGATCCAAATGTATTAATTTGTTCCCTGAGTTTCCTTCTATTTGTTTTATTCCTTTCAATCTTTGTTTAGTCTTAGTGGCACCTGAAAATAAATCTTAACAATCTTCAATAGCTTTGGTAACATGGCTGATTTATTTGCTCATAGTTTAGGTACATTCACACCGATAATGAATGTCAGTGTTTTTTTTTTTTTTTTTTTTTTTTTTGGTAGTTCAAGGTGACCTTTGGAAAAAAAATAATGACAAATTTACCTCATTGTTGGAGAAAACAGGCACGTACCCCTTTATGTTACAGCAGGGTTACTGAAGGTTTTAAATAAATTGAGAATTTGTAAATCACAGTGTATTAAAAATTAAGTAATAGATTTACTAATTAAAGGAAATCTGTGAATTTTTGCACAGTGAAGATTCTTTTGCATAGTACATTATATTCTAAACAGTCTGCAAAGATTTCTATAAAATAAAGGTGAGTGGTATTGGTAGCTGTTCACATGGAAAGCAATTCATAATTGTTAAATGACTGGTTGCCTTGCCTTTTGTCTTTGTATTGTAGAAATAAATAGAATTTTTTTAGGAATGGAGATGGAGGGGAGAATATGAGGACTGCTTTTGGCATTTTCTCAGTATGCTAGTGATGCTTACATTTCAGATTATGATCAGATGTTAACAGTTGAGAACATTTTGACTTGTGATTTGGGATAAGTCCCAAAGGTACACATGAGCATAATTGTGACAATGCTTATTATAGGCTTTTATTTTCAATCACTTACATTCCAGTTGGTTTGATTCAGCTGGTTTCTGTGATCTAAACACAGTCTCTTCCATGTCTCCATTTCATCATCTGCTTTAGAGATGGAACCTAAATTTTCATTTTGTAGTTTGAAGGACCAAAAAGAGTTTATCTCTGTCTATTTAGGAAAAAAATCAGTTTGAAGTTGGAAAAATTTATTTGAAATAATGTGAAATATGAAATTAGACCTGATGTTAGCATTTGCTGATGTTCTATTTCCTGGTGATATGAATGGAATTTTAAGAATTAATTCTTTAATTTTTCTCTTCTTTGACAAAATCTTTGGTAGCAGATGATGCCTCAGCATGTCAGGAATAGACTCTTTTC